CAACCTCTTTCCATATACGTAGAGAATGCTTTCTCTGTCTCCTGTACCACAAGATGTCTAGAAAGATGTCTGAGTAGTTAGTATAGAAAATGTTGTCGCTAGGTCACCATTTTGATGACCCAATGACTTTCTTGCAGATTTTCAGTCAGTACCCTCTTTTTTCCGAGTATTCAACAAGTTTCGAATGAAAATTATCTTAATAAATGAAATTCCTGAAAAAAGATCTGAAGCCTCTGACCAACCTGGGCTTAGAAAGAGCCGCCAAACTATTAAATACCAGAATTTCCGAAGAATCGAGATACTTTGCCGAATAAACCAAAATCAAATAAAGTAGGCATTGTGAACTTGAATAGTTCAGATCGTCAAGGAACTCATTGGGTCTGTTATTCAAAGAATTAGGATAAGATTGACTACTTTGATTCTAATGGATTAGATCCACCATCCGAATTTCAAAACTATTTGTAAAACTTCGTAAATCCATGGATTTCCTCGAATAAAGACAACAAGACAAGTGAAGATAAAATGTAAACAGAACATTTAATGCTTCAAATCCAAGACATCAACACAAATCATTGTGAACAATGCTCACTTCTTATAAAGGGACAAAAGAGAATAATTTCGAAGATTTCGAAATAGAGATCAAAATTTCATCTCTCGAAATTGTTGCCTTAGAAACTACAGTTTGACGAAAACAGAGTACTCACAATCAAACTCGACACCACCTAAATTCATTTTATAATTTTCTTGTTTTACTTCCACGTTTGGATCGGATCCTTTAATATATTTCAACTCGAATGATCTCCACAGCTTAAGGCGATCCATCTGTTGCAATTCCTGCACGAATCTCTCTACTTCGGAGATGATCTGAGCAAACTGGCTTGGCCTATAGTTCCCAGAACCATACGCATCGCGGTGCATCCTAAATTTATTTAATATAGTTCCAAAAAACAAAACAAAAAATTCAAAGGCTCTGGTCTGTTTTTAACCCTCTTTTTTTTCCAACTCTCTTAAAACCAAGAGCGTGCTCGAGACAGCAAAAAGAGCTAGTGAGGGGGGTTGGGATAACAGACAAGAACCAAAAATGAATATGAAGAAAAATTATAATACTAAAATAACTTACTTCTCGGCCTTTGCCCAACACTCGCATAAATCGTATTTTTCAACAAAAGATTTTTGAGACTGATCAATTGCAAATCTACAGAAATATTTCAATGAATTATGGGACGTCATATTAATTCCTGAAATCTTCAGATGAATACTTTTATTTGAAAAAAAATTTGATACCTCCACAAGAAAGATATAGTTGCTTTACTGCATAGACAGCAGCAAACCACGTTTTCTCTGCTGATTGCAGAAGGTCTGGAGGAGCAAGAGATAGATAATACCGAGATTTTCTGATGAAGTCTCCAGCAGTATAACCTTCCATTTCTTCCTGAAAACATAAAAAGTTTTAAAAACTTTTGGAAAATTGTAGTTTTTACATAGCTTATTCACATTCATTGAAAAAAAAAAGAATGAGTCATACCACAGTTTGCCAGTTCTTTTGATCGTCTACGGTGACTTCCTTTTTGAATTTTATTAGAAAGCGATAGTGTTAAGGTGTGATAGTGAGCTTTATTCAGAATTTGTGTATCGCATCGCGTCGCGTCGTGCCTTATCATCTCATCGATTTCATTATAAGTTCATGGTAGCGTTCGGATTTACTGTTGCCAGTGCTTCTGCTGCTCTGAAGATTTCTTGAAATCATATATTTCATTGACTTTATTTTCTTTTATTCCCTCTCTCACGTTATTCTACTTCCTTGCTTCAAAATAAATATTCCTTTCGTATTTTGGTTCATCTTTAATAACTAAAAATCTGATTTCTAGTAATGCCGTTCAAATTTCTTGTAGATGGTCATGAATTGATTTGTTCGGATGAAAATGACTTCGAAGTTATTAAAGAAAAATTCAAAAAGGAAGTCACCGTAGACGATCAAAAGAACTGGCAAACTGTGGTATGACTCATTCTTTTTTTTTTCAATGAATGTGAATAAG